ATCTATCGTCGATCACGAATCAAAATGCAGATGCGTTTTCACCCGTGAGGACAGAGATGGAATGCCTCTTTTCCGGTAAAAAGGGTCTCCGATTCTCTTTACTCACCATACGAAACACAGCAGCATTTTAAGCTGTTATTTTACGATAGTATTCTGTGAGAGCGTGGTCTTTCCCCGGTCGAGCGGACCCATTCGTGCTACAACTATAATATAGCTGCAGCATGGTTTTACCACGTACACAATCTAATAGTATGTTTCCACCATAGAGCTACTATGTACTACGTACTAGAGGCGAGGCGGCACCACATTAAGCTACTCTGTTCCATTCAACTGCGGTGCTTACACATTTACGCACTTTACTCGCTACTCTCTAGGCGCTTGTAGAGTTGTCACGTGTTGTGTTGATTTTAAAAAAAAAATCACTTGATAAAAATATGCCGTCGTGTGTAATTAGACATTGCACAAATAATTCAAGAAATGTCAATAAAACCAAGGAAGTTACTTTTCATCGGTTAATAAGATACTTAATCAATAAAAAAGTATTATAGATTAATAACAAAAACAAATTATTCCTAAGCCATCTCGTGTCATGGAATATAGATTATGAAATAATTTGTTCAGATGCGACATTTCTCTGGGTACTTAAGTATAGGATGAATATGTTATTATGCACATTTTTTTTTGTACAAACATAATATATAAGTTATCATAATGAGGCTAATTTTTTCTATTTAAATCTGCTCATTATTCTTTTTTTATTTTTAGGTTTCCACATCAAAGTAAAAGTGGAATAAATTCGTCCATTTTTAACTCTCGCGTACCCTAAAAGCTGAACGACTCTTATTCTAATTTAAATAAATATATTCGTAATTTAAATGTTATATTAATATGTTTTGTTAAACATACATCTAGTAAGTTTTTTTATATTTCACATAAATATCTTTTAAAATATTCAGATAAAAATATCATTAAAATGTAATTGTGATATAATATTATGTAATATTATATTAAATAAGCAAATATAATATCCAAAATAAATGACAAAATTTAAAAATTATTCTCGATATAATTTACCTATTTAACAATGCAATCTATTATTACCTACTGATCATTCTACCTATGTTTATTCTATGATAAAAACAACCGCGCGAACACAGACAAGTGCACATTTTTTGTTGAAATAGCTGTTCTAGTACGTAAGTACATATTACATACTTCAATGTTTAATTTAGTCACTTTTTTATAACTCAGAAACTACAGTCTTGTTTGCATAGATATGTCTTTGTGATACAATGCTCTTCATCGGTCGGGCGGGTTATAACAATGTATTACATTTATGAAAACATATGATATGATGTGTGTATGTTCATAATAAATTAGGAGGTTTTTAATTTTAAAACTGCTATTTATTTAGTACTTCAATGTGGGCATACTATATTGCCGTTATAAACTTTTACAGATTTTTTTGTAACTAAAGGTATTGCATAATAATAAATAGTGTTATTATCCTTGAAACTCAGTTGAAATAATTAAACTAAAAAAAAATTAAAACCTATTTTAATATCGAATTCGATTAACGTGGTAAGGAATTAGCCGTCCATATGTCATGCAAAGTAGTAAGCTATAGTGACAATGGGCCGGCCATATAGCTCGAAGAACCAATAACCGATGGGGAAACAGCATACTTGGTGGCATTACTGGGGGGGGGGGGGCTATGTTCAGCAGTGGACTTGTGAAGGGCTGTAGATGATGATGATGATGATGGACTTAATAAGCTAACGACGATGACCGCGATAAGAACATTTTTTCTTATGTAGCGATCTGTGTACCAATAGGTCGATGGATGCGGGTCCTGAGCCACCTGCATCGATCGACTTCCTGCATGTCTTACCAGGTCGTCACTCCATCTAGTGGGGGGTCGCCCAACACCTCGCCTACCGGTACGAGGCTGCCACTCGAGAACCTTTTTTCCCCAACGATTGTCGGTTCTTCGAGCTATATGGCCAGCCCATTGCCATTTCAGCTTACTAATCCGTTGGGCTATGTCAGTCACTCTGGTTCTACTGCGGATATCCACATTTCTAAGTTTATCACGCAGAGAAACTCCGATCATAGCCCTATCCATAGCTCGCTGAACGACTTTGAGCGTCCTCATACGGCCAGCAGTGAAGGGCCACGTCTCGGTTCCGTAGGTCATCACTGGCAACACGCACTGGTTGTACAAAGTTGTTAAGTCCATAGCTGGATATAAACTTATTCGAGGAATACGTTAAGTGACAATTGGAATTAGAAAGATTTACCCATTCCCTCAGATTAAGGAACGAAAGATTATAGAACAAATTTCTAAATACATAGTAATAGTTCCCACACTTTTACTATGTTACTACATTAAAAAAAAACGCTCGAGGTGTCATAGAATAACTACCACATAGCAGTTCTTACATAGTTCTGTGCCGTTCTGAAGCGGAGGGCCATGATAATTACACGTGGTAGAGCCAAGCTGCAGCTATATAAGTAATATAGTTGTAGCACGAATGGTTCAGCTCGACCGAGGAAGGACCACGCTTTCACAGAATACCAGCGTAAAATAGTAGCTTAACGCTGCTGTGTTTCATATAGTGAGTGTAGAGAACCGGGGACCCTTTTTATTGGAAACGAGGCATTCCATCTTCATCCTCATATGTGACAATGCATCTGCATTTTGATTCGTAATCGAGAATAGATGTAGATATAGACAGTGTGGTCGTTTGTCATCCTATCCTATAAAATAAAATAAAAAACGACAACAATTTTTTTTGTAGTTGGCTGCATAGGAAGTTATAGTGGATTGTCCGCTGACCGATAAATTGTGTAAATCTGTAATTTATTAATTGTGATTTTATTTTATTTTGTTTTATTAATTCTGACTTTATTTTATTTCATTTGGATTAATTTATTTTATATACTGACATTACTGCCTACTTAAAATGACTGTTGGATAAATTATTTTAAAATTGTAATTTTGATGACATTTATTGATTGAATGACATTTATTTATTTCTAAAATTGTGTAGATTGCCTAATTTTTAATTAATTGATTTTACTAAATTGCCTGAATAAAGATGATTATTATTAGGGGGTATCACTATAGTTTTCTCATCTGGTTGGGTTCTATAAATATATAATTATAAATGGAAACGAAAAGATAAATATACATAAATATCAATAAAATTAAATAAATATAAAAATACATAAATAAATAAAAGCCCAACCAGATGGAGGCCCGGCAAGGGAGACCAAACGGCCAAGGGTTAGGGGGAAAGGGAAAGAAACCGAGGGACGATCCGGGCGGTATCGAGAAGCACCGCCTTCTGCATTTGAGCCTGGAGCGGTCCGCCACGTAGTCTCAGCCGCCTCAGATGATACGAAAGGCTGACTGGGATTAGCCCGTTTGCAGAGACGACTACAGGAATAATTTCGGTCGCAGACCACTCCACATATCAGTCACCTTGTGAGCCAGGTCCAGATATTTTGTTTGCTTATCTGTTTCGGCTTTCACGAGGTTCTCGTCATACGGAATGGTAATGTCGACCAAAAATATCCTTGACTGTGCCCGGTCCATCAGCACAATATCAGGCTTATAGTCGTGTCTGTGATGATGGCCCGGTCCCAATAGAGCCTGGCGCGATCATTTTCGAGCACGGTTTCTGGCAAGTACTTGTAATACGGCAATTTCCGATCCAAGAGGCCGTATTTCAGAGCGAGCTCCTGGTGTAGAATTCTGGCTACTAGGTTGTGTCTGTGCAAGTACTCAGAGTAAGAAAGCGCCGAACAACCGGAGATGACATGCCTAAGTGATTCACCGGGATGGCGACAAGCTCGACAGATGTCGACGGTGCCCTCCTTTAGGATGTATCTCCAATAGTTGTTGGTCTTAATAATCTGATCCTGTATTGCACAGGAAAAACCTCTGTTTCCCCGAAGAGGTCACCAAAGCGTAGCCAGTGGTAGGAGGCTACTGTGTCTGCGAAAGGCTCATGTAGAGCCTTGTAGAACCTCCCGTGGAGCTCCTTCTCCTTCCATACGGTCTGCCGGTCGGAAATGCTCTGCACTGCTTGGTCTTGCCATTGCTCGTTGGCTAAGGATAGACGGGTAAGTCCTTTATCACAAGAAATGACGTCCTTATAGAATGGATCATCCGACCTCGCCAGAAAGTAATCACGGAGGTTGCACACTTCGCGATTATGCATGGTGAGCGCGCTCAGAAAGCCACGCCCACCATGCTTTCGCGGCAAGTTCAGCCTCATTACCGACGATCCTATAGGACGTCATGGTAGTGCGGACTTTTCTATCCAGGGCGTCAAGTACAGTCTGAGTCCACCTGAGTATGCCAAAGGTATACATGAGGACAGGCATGACCCAACCGATATATGCGTATGTCTTATTCACACCGAACAAAAGGCTGTTAAGCACTTTGGTCAAGCGTGCATAAAACACGTCGCAAACTGACTGTTTCATACCAGCCTCATCGCTACCGATGTTCTGTAACATACCCAGGTATCGGTATGTTTCAGCCCCGGAAAGGTCCTTAAGTTGACGGGCATAGATAAGTCCGAGGACTCTCTTTAACCATGTATGGGGCACCGAGTCGAATGCCTTTCTGTAGTCTATCCAGGCGACGGAGAAGTTCCGACGGTTGCGTTTCATCACTTTGCCAATGACCGCGTCAATGAGGAGTGGTTCCTTGGTTCCACGACCACCGTCCCGACATCCATTTTGAGCACGCAACATCACCTGATTTGAGTCCAGGTGACGAGTGATTCTCGCGCTCAAAATGGATGTTAGTGTCTTGTATATGGTCGGTAGACGCGTGATGGGGCGGTATTTGCTCGGGTCTGTGGTACCCTGGTCTTTAGGAACCAAATGGGTGATCCCAGTAGTGAAGAGGCTCGGGAGCGACTTCTGGTTGAGAGACTCTTGAAACTGTGGGGCGAGCACAGTGTGACACACCACGAACCCCTTCAGCCAGTAGTGATGCAGCCCATCGAGTCCCGAACTGGACTGGAAGTTCTGGCCCTACGGACCGCCTCAGCTACGTCATCTGGTGTTATAATGACGGGGTCCATGGGTGTCATACTGACACACTGACTCACCACAACTTCCATCCAAGGGCTCTCGCTGTGGTTTACGGGCTCTGACCACAGGCTGCGCCAGAATGCTACAGTGTCGGCCTGATTCGGTGCTGGGCCCGTTTCCCTTGCCATTGGTCGCTCCAATGATTCATAGAGCTTCTTCTGATCACTCTGGAAGAGACGATTCTGGTTGAACCGTGTCGACCTCTCGGTATATCGCCGAATCCCCTTTCCCCAAGCAGCGATTCTCTGCTTCAGATCATCTATGCGCTCCTTCAGTTTTTCAGCATACGCCATCTCGACGGTGCGCACAATTCTTGGCCTGTTATTGCCTGATCGGAAGCATATCAGTCTACCGATGAGAGCTCTAGCTTTTGCGATACGTTCCTTAATTCTTCTTCTCCATGCTGGGATAGCGCTACTTTGGCTTGTAGCGCGTCCAGCCGTGGAAACCTTGGCACCTATAGTACGGCAGACTGCCAGCGCGGCGCCACAAAGAATTGAGTCCGTCTCGCAAAGGTCCCGGTTGGCATCCAAATAGGTCACCAGCATTGGTTTCAGTGCTCTCACGACAGCGCGATTCCGCTTGTTTAGGGCTATGCGGGGAATTCGCGGTCGATTTTCGAGAGGCGTACTGCGCGTTTCCAGAATCGCCTCTTCCAATGTACTCCTCATTTGCTCTATTTCTAGTTCCTGTGTGAATGTTCCATCATCATTTGAATCAGCAACCACTGGGGTATTCTCGGCGGCATCCACATGTGCGAGTTATTCTGCAACTTGTGGCACCGCATCCTTAGTCGTAGCATTTTCATTTGATGAGGGAACAGCCTCACGTCGTAGCCTTTCGAGTTCGGCGCCATCAAATATATTTGAGCGTAAGATATACCGAACTCGATCTGCCAGGTTTTGCTCGGTGACGGTAACGGAGCTGCTGGGTGGTCGTGCAGCACCTCCCGCACGGCTGGTGGTTCGCATGCTGTCACGTCCAGCGCCAGCTCCAGACGCGCCCTGGCGACCTCCAGGCAGTGGCCCTTTGCGCAATCTTCTGTGCTTCATTATCCATAGTGGGCGTCATTTTACGGGAGACGCCCAGACCCGGCGCCGTTTCATGGTGAGGCCATATGTACAAGCGGGCCCTTGCACCTTCAATTTTTGTCAAGGCACGGCGTTCACACCTTTTGACAAGGTGCTGACTGACTGCGCGGACTTAGCAGTTTTGTCACATAACCGTCACGTCAGCGGGCGATGGGGTCGTCACTTCCCTACGCCTTTTGATTATTATTATTATTAATAAAATATACGTATTAGAGTCATGTTACAGCATCACAGAATAAATAATAGTACTACGTAACAGCGTTATGGCTGTAGCACGCACGTGTGGTACCTACCTAGACGGATTCCTAGATAGAAAAATACTCCTAGTCCTACTACCTAGTGAGGACCCATGAATGTCGTTAGTTGGGACAGAGGGAAACAAACTAGGAACCCGTCTAACCCGGACAGAGAAGCTTATTTTTAGTAGTGGACTTTCATAAGATGTAATGAATGAATAAATAAATGAATTCGTAAAAAGACCTTTCTAAAGGATCTTTCTAAAGATTAATGAACATAACTTTTTTAACATCAAAATTCATGAACATTAATCACTCAGCTTCGATTTGCCGACGATTTGGTCCTTATGACAGAATCACTTTAGAAGCAATATGCTCAATACCCTTAATAGTGTCTCCCAACGGATTAGATCTTAAGATGAACGATTAGGTCTTAAGATGAACATGGACAAAACAACGTTCACGTGTAATGTCCATGTCACACCTATGCCGGTAGTTGTTGGGAGCACTATGCTCGAAGTTGTTGACGAGTATGTTTACCTGGGACAAATAGTCCGACTAGGTAAGTCCAACTTCGTCCGAAAGTACAATCAACGGATTCAACTCGTCTGGGCAGCGTTCGGGATATTACGACACATCTTCTCGTCAGGTATACCTCAAAATCTGAAAACGAGATTGTACCAGTGCGTCTTGCCAGTGATGACTTATGGATCCTGTCGTTCACTGCTGACCGTATGAAGATGCTCAAGGTCGCACAGCGAGCTATGGAGAGGGTTTCTCTGCGTGATAAACTTAGAAATGAGGATATCCGCAGGAAAACCAGAGTAACCGACTTAGCCCAAAGGATTAGTAAGCTAAAGTGCCAATGGGCCGGCCATATAGCTCGAAGAACCGACAACCGATGGGAAAAAAGTTTCTCGAGTGGCAGCCTCATATCGGTAGGCGAAGTGTAGGGCGACCCACCCACTAGATGGAGTGACGACCTGGTAAGACATGCAGGAAATTGATGAATGCAGGTGGTTTAGGGTCGTGCTTTTTGGCATTCCTTGGGGCAGGCCTACGTTCAGCATTGGCCTTGTGAAGGGCTGTAATGATGAATGATGATGAATTTTTTTTAAATAAATATACTAGCAATGCTTTAATCATTACTAATATTGTAAGGAGTGGTTCACGACACTATTTGAGTGGCTGATTCGAACCTACGACCTTTCAAGTTCGCTGTCCGCACCCTGCCATTAGGCTACTGTCGCTTATTATTATCATAGACTCAACCGTAGATTGCTGCAAATTACGGTCCAGTATCACCTTCATCCATTGGCTACCTGCACTCTCATCAGAATGGATGAACTGCATGAACCCTCCACTAGATGGAGTTACATTTAGTATAGGGTATGCCCAGCAGTGCATTTGCTAAAACTATTTTTAAACATGGTAAAGACAAGCAGCTATATTATGATTGTAGCACGAATGGGTCGGCTCGACCAGGGAAGGACCACGCTCTCACATTCTGTGTAGCTTTACCTGGGTAGGATCTATTTATGTAGCCTTATTTAGGATGAAGACAATGAAAGAACATTTATTTTCGAAATATTTCGTTTTTCAAAAAAAATTCAAATTTTTTTTTGACAAAATATGGCCTAGGTGAATCCAGGCATTGTTCTTTTGTTATTATATTATTACTATTATTACGTTATACTTATACTACTCGTATTATTACATGGTAGAGCCACTCTACAGCTATATTATGGTTGTAGCACGAAAGGGTTGGCTCGACCGAGGGGAAGGACCACGCTCTCACAGAATACCAGCGTAAAATAGCAGCTTAATACAGCCGTGTTTCGTATGTTGAGTGTAGAGACCCGGAGACCCTTTTTTACTGGAAACGAGGCATACCGTCTTAGTTCTTCGTCGTCCGTCGTACTTCGGGGTGACAACTCATCTGCGTTTTGATTGTTAATTGAGGATAAATGTAGATGTCTATGGGCCACAGCATCCACTTAACATCAGGTGGACTGTGTGCTCGTTTGTCACCCTCGATCTATAAAAAAAACTAAGTATGGAAACAAATTTAACTACAGAAACTCCATACTATCTTGCCCGGCCGGAGATCCCCCCTTCGAGGGACAAAATAATTCCAACATCTCAATTGACATAATTAAAAAAAAGTTGATGTAAAAACCTATTACGAATTTGTTTCATATGTATGATCTTACTCTATGAAATTTGTAAAAAAAAGTGCTACTTGACATCTCAATTTTCCGCCAAAACGTCAAGTTCTTTAACGTTGTTATCTATTACGTTACTCCTGACAGATCTGAAATGAACTCTAATCACTCTTGCTTGAAAAACGCAATAAATTCGCGCGCTCTTAAAACAATGGCGCCTAATATATTTGCAAATACATTCTCATTTTAAACAGAATAAAATAACATAAAGTCCCGAGCGGCTGCATCCACGATGTTATCGGATAATGACTGCAATTGAGCCCCGAGTAATTGTTGTGCCATAGTTTACCGGCCCGGTTTACATCTAACCCATCTGTATATGGCAGTCTGTATGAGCTTGAGACACTGTCGTTTTTTACGTCTACATGTTGTGTGTTTATGTTTTATTGAACGAAGTTTACAATAGATACTAAAACGGGATCTCTTCAAATGATCAGAAAGTGTTCGATTCGTCATGTTTACTGCATTATTATTTACAGAATAGTGGCGATGTAAGAATATCTGTTACCCCAATTCGGTCTTGGGTGTCGTAGGAGACGAAACTTAAAAATGAGATTAGCTTATAAAAGAGAGCAGCAAAATCTTCCTTTTTTAGCATTGGGTGATAAACGAGCACACAGTCCACTTGATGGTAAGTGGATATTGAGGCACATAAACGTCTACATTTATCCAGAATTAAGGGTCAAAGTGCAAATGCGTTGTCGCCCTTGAGGACTAAGATGAAATGCCTCGATTCCTGTAGAAAGGATCTCCGGTTATCTACACACAACATGTTACAAAACACAGCAGCATTACGCTGCTATTTTACGCTGGTATTCTGTGAGAGCGTGGTCTTGTCTCGGTCGAGCCGACCTATTCGTGCTGCTACTATAATATAGCTGCAGTTTCCTGGTAACAACCTAAAATTATAAAAATCTGGGGCCCCCAACCCGTCTGCCAAGCGTGGCTGCTATGATCAATCCAGGCAAATGAGACAATTTGAATAAAATGGACGCTTATAGTTTGTAATGGATAAGGGACTATGTTATTGTCTTATATACGGTCAGACTGGTAGACATGAGACTACTTCTCTACGTCATCGTCATCGTACAATGAGTTATGATGGTCATGAACATCTTCCACGGTTGGCACGAGCTGCTTTTATCGTTACACTTGACAATAGCACGTGTAATGTGTGTAACAGATACTCAAGTCTTTTATACGTTAATACTGAGTTCCTGACCTTTTTGTTGTTGCAATTCAATAAATTATTTATTCCCATCAATTTCTCTGATGTGAATAAATAATTTATGCATTATTTTGCAAGCAATGCATTATTTTAACTGACTTTTCTGCCCATCACACATTTATAAGGGTCGATCGGTAGGCAAAAATTCAATTTGGCATTGAGTTTAAGTACTTACACTTTATGTATTTTTAATACTCAAAGAGTTATACAAAACTAAAAGTGTAATATATAAATCAATGCAATTTGCAAATAAATTTTTTTTATTTGCAAAAATAAAAGTAGAAGCCATATTTACTCGTATTTTCAAAAACTGCAATAACGGTATGTCATTTTTTTATATCATTTAAATATTTGAACTTAAGGGGAAATATAACCTCAAATGGCTTAGCAAGATCCTCCATTATGCCGAAAGTACTGCAGCATTAATTTTGAAATAAATATATGGTAAAGTTGAGGATTAATGTTAAGGACTATGTTAGACGAAAACACGATTCCGTAAAATTTTCTCGATAGAAAAAAATCTAAAGTTACCTCCAAACTGAACAATAAACCGCTTTTATTCATAAAATACTTTAAATAAGATCATGAAACTTTCCATATTAACTGAACTAACTATAAAGCAGTGCTTATGTTATTTACTTTTTTTTAAATACCATTATTTTCACTGTAAAAAGAAATTACCTAAACTATCGGCGTCTAGAAGCTTGATTCCTGTCGGCCCGTTAGTAAGCATGGGCGTTTTCAGTTTTTATCTGCAACGGTTACATAACCGATATCTAGTTTTCATATCGTTATTGAAAACCGTTTTCAGATATCGATATCAATATAATGGTTTGCTACTGAATGCGCAAACGACAACCGAACCATAACCGCAAACTGTACTACCACTGC